ACAACGGCCTTTCTTTTCAGCAATTGTCACATTTAAAGACAGATATAAGATTATTAAAAATAATTAACATTTTAATGGCAATTTTAGGGGATGCGCAATCAAATTTTACAAATTATAAATATTCTTTTGTAATTCCTCTTGTAACATCAGTGTTCCCGATTCTAACTTTATAAAAAAAGTATTATTAAAGTGGAACCAAATAACACTGATTCCTTAAAATAAGTTTTATTTAAAAGATGCGTCCTCAACTAATTTAACAAATTTGTTTTGTGTTTTCCGTTGCTTTTTATAAGCCCAATGCATACGATGCGCATTTATTTAAACAAGAACTAGCAAAAAATATCAAATACACAAGTTCCTAAAAATATCAGTTTTACAGAAGCTTACTTGCACACTTGAACATCTCATTCATAAAACATTTTAATTTATCTGCTTTATGCTGATAAAATCTTTTTACATTATCTTATATTTCGAACAACAGGAATTTCTCGTATTCATCCAAGGTGGCAATTTCCTAAAGTAGGCTCTTCGGAATGCAAGAGTTTTACACTGCATAAAAAATTAATACTGACAGAGACTGTACTGCTTAGCATTTGAGTGGCTAGTATCAACTTTATCGGATTGTCTATTTTATAGCTGGTGGCCTTTTAGTTTTTTAATATTAAACACTCGTTTTTTTAATTAAATTTTAAAATGATTTACTTAGGAACTGGTAATACTTTTCAAAAATTTGGTGGAGAGCTGATTGGCAAAAATATTTTTCACTTACCTCAGAAAAAAGTAAACTTCTCATACAATTTGTTTACGTAGGATACAAAAACATATATAAAATGATTAATAAAAAAATTAAAATTAATGTATACTTATGGTTTTAAAAAATTTTTGTAATTCGTTTGAGAAGTTTAGTTCTTTAGAAAAATAGGTATTAAAAGCTAAATTAAAAATCATAATAAAATTAAAGTAAATGATAATAAATCACGACCTAAATTTAATTGAAATCCTCGATTACAAATAAGTATTTAAAATTGTTACACTGCCTAAAACTTGAATACTGACAGAGACCATACTGCCTAGCATTTGAGAGGCTAGTTTCACCTTCATCGGATTAATGTATACTTTTGGATTTAAAAATTTTTTGTAATTCGTTTGAGAAGTTTAGTTCTTTAGAAAAATAGGTATTAAAAGCTACGGTGGCGCCATCTAGTGTCAAAACTTTAAATAGTACTAAAGTATTTTGTAGGGGCGCCATCTGTTATCTAAGAGCCGAAACGAAACAAAACTTTATTATTCCATCGTAATACTGATTTAATTTTCGTGAAATCTAAATTATAAGTATTTTTCTGTTTACGTAGATCGAAAACAAATCAGAAAATTTAATAAAAAAGTTATTCTGATTTAAAATTTTAAACTCAAGAATATACAATATTTTTTCGACTAACAATGACGCCATCTGAAGGCCGTAAAACAAACAATAAAATTAAAAAAAAAGTGACAGCCAAAGAAAACTAACCCAATAATTTTTACTAGATATTTTATTTATTTAATAATAAAAAGTGCAAATTTAACTAAATCGATCAAGAAATAGAATTTTAGTATATTTTAAAAATACATTGAATATTAAAAGCACCATATAAGAAGGCACACACACACACACACACACACACACACACACACACACACACACACACACACACACACACACACACACACACACACACACACACACACACACACACAGGCCCAAGAGCGAAATTAAAGAACGAGAAAGAAATAGGTAACTAAGTATGTTTAAAAAACCACGTGTAAAACTGATTTTATAACTTATATTTAATATAAATAATTTAAATTGTTCCATTCCAATACCAATACAATTTTCTTGTTTTCTATTATTTCTATTATTTCTTTTTTTTTTATTCTAATCATTTTCTATAATTATTTATACCCTTTTTCTATAAGCCGAGATTTTTTAGTACATTTTTCCAAAAAAAAAATGAATACTAGGGATTGATTAATAAAAATTCAAAATTTTTCACAATACAAATACATTTATTTAAAAAAAAAAAACAATATTTACACAAAAAAATTAACAATTTACAACAATTAGGAAAACAACAAATTAAAATTAAATATGTATTTATTTTAACAATTTTGTGAAAAAAATATATTATCTATGTAGACTGGATATAGCATGACTGGATATAGACTGCGGACTGATGTTGTAGGAAGGAAGTACAAATGCCACTAGTAGTAAATATATATTATCTCTGTAGAACTGAAACAAAAGAAAGATATAATTAATAACATAATTAATAATTATTATAGTTAAAAAAATAGAAATAAAAAAATAATAATCACTTCTATGAATTTGATCCTTCTTCTTGACAGTGATGTAACTTATAATGGTTTTTCATCTTTTCTACTGATGCAAAATATTTTAGACAGTCATCGCACCGTAAACTTCTATCTAATATGGGCTTGCAATCAATCAAGAAAGTCTTCGAAGAAAATGGACGACTGCAGGAAGCTTCAGAGGCGTCGGAAGCATCGAAGGCGTCTGAGGCGTCGGATGTAACTAAAACGACAGAGGGATCAAAGACGGAGGCGGCATTAAAATATCAGATGCAATCGTGTCGGTGGTGCAACTAGACGTACTTGCGTCATCGTCATAATTTTGAATTGAATTCGTCAATTTGTAAGGTAGTCTCGTACTCATGGATAACGACTTGATGTGGTTTATAACAAATTAGAGGTATCTGAGTTTAGTTTGCAAATTTATACCAGTGATTTCATCGGCAAAAAACACAACGGTATCTTCGGTGGAAAACGTCAAATACCTCTTCCTATAAAACCACGCGACATGATTGAACTGAAAAGAAAAAAAAATAAAAAAAAACCTAAATAAAAAAAATTAAAGAAAAATAAATTAAAAAAAATATAAAGAAAAAATATATATACAATGCAACTCAATTTTTAAAACAAAAAAAAAACAAATAAAAATTTTAATGCCTATAAATAAACTTACATTAAATTCTTGCATCATATGATTATATCTAACACGTCTCATCCCTCTTCTACAAATTGTCGTTGTACATGGTAGCCTCTCGATTTGTTTAGCTTCTCTAGGGCATCATCCATTATCGTGTATTGTGTAATATTTGATAATTTCACGATATACTCCATGATAATTCTAAGGAATTTTGTAAATCCTATGCAATTTCTCTTTTTTTCCAAAAAGTGGTTTGTGTAAACATATTTAATATTTTTGCAACGTTTACATTTATCCATCTTTGTAGATGGATAGTAGGAAATGGCGGTGATAGCGGCGGTGGCAGCGGCGACGGTGGTAGCAGCGGTGATAGCGGCAATGGTAGCGGCGGGGTGGCAGTGGCAACGGGGGTGGCAGCTTAGGCATATCTAATATTTTTGCAACGTTTACATTTATCCATCTTTGTAGATGGATAGTAGGAAATGGCGGTGGTGGCGGCGACGGTGGCAGCGGCGATGGTGGTAGCAGCGGTGATAGCGGCGGTAATAGTGGCGGTGGCAGTGGCAGCTGAGGTGGCAGCAGCGGTGGAAGCGGCGGTGGTAACGGCGACGACTAAGACTAAGAAATAAACGATCAGCAGTAATAAATTTAAAACTTTTAGTGAAAATTAATATAAAAAAATAAAATAAAAAAAAAACGAAATTGAAACAGTGATTATCGATTGATCCGTACTTGCCGGCTTGGCGCAGGTTTCTAGGGTGTCCCGTTAGACATTTAGTAATGTTTTCGGTGATATGAAAACTGTAATACTGGCAACTAAGTGGTGGTTTTAATGTACAAAGAAAATCAAAGCACCCTAGAAACTGCTTACAAAATACTCTATCAGCATATTTAGGTACCGTAAACATAAGTACGTTAATAATTAACCTAGGATCTATCGAATTTAAGAAAGCAAATGCTGCGAAATATAGCCTATCTTTATATTTTACCTAACCGACTCCAAATTGTAAATCTCTCTGGGTTCGTCACTATAAGTGGTAGTCTGACAGTCGGCAAAAGAACGGCTGGCAGACGAGACGTCGTGGCAAACGTCACACGTCGGTGCAATGTCCGAGGTTGCATCGGCATCGAGGCAACGTTCGATAATTGCCTGGTCGTCGAAGCAACCGCAGACGTCGCGACAAAACTCAGTCGTTGCCTAGTAACGGCCGGGAGACGAGACGGCGTGGGATACACCACAGGCCGGTACATTATCCGAGGTTGCATAGGCGTCGCGGCAACGATCGATGATTGCCTCGTCTTTGAAGCAAACTTGGGGACAACCATCGGTGGTTGCCTCAAGGACAATGCTGCCACAGGATAGTAGGAAATGGCGGTGATAGCGGCGGTGGCAGCGGCGACGGTGGTAGCAGCGGTGATAGCGGCAATGGTAGCGGCGGTGGCAGTGGCAACGGGGGGTGGCAGCTTAGGCATATCTAATATTTTTGCAACGTTTACATTTATCCATCTTTGTAGATGGATAGTAGGAAATGGCGGTGGTGGCGGCGACGGTGGTAGCGGCGGTGGCAGCGGCGATGGTGGTAGCAGCGGTGATAGCGGCGGTAATAGTGGCGGTGGCAGTGGCAGCTGAGGTGGCAGCAGCGGTGGAAGCGGCGGTGGTAACGGCGACGACTAAGACTAAGAAATAAACGATCAGCAGTAATAAATTTAAAACTTTTAGTGAAAATTAATATAAAAAAATAAAATAAAAAAAAAACGAAATTGAAACAGTGATTATCGATTGTCCCGTACTTGCCGGCTTGGCGCAGGTTTCTAGGGTGTCCCGTTAGACATTTAGTAATGTTTTCGGTGATATGAAAACTGTAATACTGGCAACTAAGTGGTGGTTTTAATGTACAAAGAAAATCAAAGCACCCTAGAAACTGCTTACAAAATACTCTATCAGCATATTTAGGTACCGTAAACATAAGTACGTTAATAATTAACCTAGGATCTATCGAATTTAAGAAAGCAAATGCTGCGAAATATAGCCTATCTTTATATTTTACCTAACCGACTCCAAATTGTAAATCTCTCTGGGTTCGTCACTATAAGTGGTAGTCTGACAGTCGGCAAAAGAACGGCTGGCAGACGAGACGTCGTGGCAAACGTCACACGTCGGTGCAATGTCCGAGGTTGCATCGGCATCGAGGCAACGTTCGATAATTGCCTGGTCGTCGAAGCAACCGCAGACGTCGCGACAAAACTCAGTCGTTGCCTAGTAACGGCCGGGAGACGAGACGGCGTGGGATACACCACAGGCCGGTACATTATCCGAGGTTGCATAGGCGTCGCGGCAACGATCGATGATTGCCTCGTCTTTGAAGCAAACTTGGGGACAACCATCGGTGGTTGCCTCAAGGACGATGCTGCCACAGGCGTCGGAATAATAATCGGTAGTTGCCTTGACGACGATGCTGCCACATGCGTCGGAACAACCAACGGCGGTTGCCTCGACGACGATGCTATCACAGACGTCGGAGTAACCGTCGATGGCGATTTCCGGGACGACGAGGCGACTTGCGAAGATCGACACGGCGTCGAGGCAAACATCGAGAATTCTCGAGACGACGACGCGATGGGAGACGCCGAAAGCGACGCGACAGGAGACGTCGACGTCAGATTTAATAAAGCTGCCAATGAATCATATTTACCTTCGATAAACGGAATATGCTTGAAGTTAAACTTTTTTTTTAAATAAAACGATTTCTGAATTTTAGAATCTTTAAAAATAGACGACTAGAGTTTGACTTATATATTTTAACCTCCGGTTTAACCGAAGACCAAATTTCTATATCGCTAACATTTAATTTTTTATTTTTAGTGTTCACGGTAATATCAAGGTGATTATTAAATAAAAAATTATTTGAAGCCAAAGAACCACCTGACTGTTCCAACCTCGATTTTTTATTTTCCGGCATTTGAATATCCGAACCTTCTTCTACTTTAATATTACTAATATCTATAAACGAATTTTTATTATCATTTAGGAAAGTGATGCTATCATTATAAACGTGATCGCCGTCGCCGCCATCGTCTCCGATATTTTTATAAAGAGGATTTTTGTGTTGAACGGTGTTAAGAACAATTAATTAATTGGAATCCAAACTTTAAATTTGATACATAATAAAATTGTTACAGATCTGGCTAATAATAATTACTAATGTACATATTGGCATTTATACCTTCGTTAAACTTTATACAAAAGCATTAATTCATCTTAAATGTTCAACTAGTTCTTTAGTGTGGTGGTATGTTGTGGATGCTTAAAATGGCGTTGAGTGTTTCCTTCCTTATCCAGAGTTCCTGTATATTTTCTTTCTATATGACGAACAGAATTGCTAACTACTACCTATTTAACCTATTTTATTATATATAGATCGTCTCCCCCATAACAATTACATACGTCAATGAAATTCAAGCAAAAATTTCGTATTTGTTTTTTTTACCTTACGACAAATTATTTTGGAAAAAGTAATAAGATGTCTTTTTTATATGTTTGCTCCTACAATAATTTACATTTAGTTGTTAAAGGGCTACGTGAAAAGATATCGTGTTCAATTCTAATACAATTTTTATTTTATTAGAATTGACAGGCGCTCAGGGGATAATTTCTCAGCGCTGTATAATCCGTCGTAAGATTATGTTATGCCCATAATAAACTTTAAAAGACATTTAAGGATTCGTGCAATTTGTTGCTTTTATATTACTGGCTGTCTCTTGGTTACTCTTCTGAACATATTATGCCGCTATAAAACCGAATAACTCAATAGGAATGGCATGCAACTTTCACCCTTTTAAAAATCGACACTAAAACACACAACAAAAATGTAGCTGTAGACGTTCTTTTCTTTCCAACCAACTACTCTTTGGTCTTATGTTCAATATAAAACATAAGTTGTTGGTTAAGTTAGTAATATTACAAGAACATTTTTAGCATTTCTCTTTAATAACTGCATATGTACAATATTAAATAACAAATATAAAATATTTTTTTTACTTTGGTGTTATGGCAAATAAATAATTTAATAGTGGGATATATTTATATGGCAAAAGTACACTGTAAAAACGACATGAATGACAAAAAAAGTTGTATCAACCGTTTTCGTTGCTCAAATAAAGTGGATCTTCTGCATGTATTGCTTTAAATAATATTGAATTTGTGATGGTTTCTTTAAGGTGGTTTTACCGCTTTCCGTAAGCGTCGAAGTTGAGATATACTGCATCCCTTTCATAGAATATCTCTGGGCCCAATCCTCTCTTTGTTTGTATAAAGACAAGTAAGTATTGGAAAGATGCTGAGGAAGTGGATAGCATATTTAAAAACGCTAAAGGCGTCCCGAAATTATTTTTTGGTCTATATCGATTCTAAACGATATCAATAAACAAAATAAAGTTTTAATGGTTAATTAACCTACTACAGCCATTAGCCTCGTGTTTTGTGTAGGCTTTGTTACTGTTTCCCAGCGCCACTTTAGGAACAGAACTGTTAATTAGAACCCAACAGTGAATGGTCGAGTGGGAATTCTACCAAGGCATGAGAATTAATTTTAAATATTTAAATTAAATGAAAAAATTCCGGCCAACGGTGGGATTCGATCCTGAGACCTTCCGATCTCAAAGTCATGACCACCCTCAATTAACTTATATTTATTGATAAAAAATATAGATTTACAATTTTATCTAACATTACTCATATACAATTTCATCTTTGCTGTTGCTTATTCTGGTGGACCTGTAGTTGTTGAAATTGCTGCAAGACTTGTTGTGATTATTTAAAGGGAATATAGACTTGACATTACGATATAGGTCTTTTTTGAAGAAGAACATATATTGCAAAAATCACATTGTATATTTTTGAAGGTCTACGTAATTTATGTACGATTGAAAACTAATTTAATCCATATAAGAAGTTTTTCCACTGTTCTTTCTTGTGTTTTTGTAGTGTTTTTCGCTTCTTTCTTGTTTTCAGCCGGTTTTTTTCTTTCTAATGGATTTTATCTTTTTTTTCAAATTTTTCACCATTGGCCGTATAATGCTGCTGTTGCTTATTCTGGTGGAGATTATTGTATTAAAATTGTTGTTGAGCTTGTTGTTATTATTTAAAGGGAATCCAGACGCTACGTTACATCGTAGGTTTTTGTCAAAGAAGAAAAGTGATTCTTCTTAAACAAGTCTTTTATTTTTAATTTTTTTGATAATACTTGATATACCAGCATTTATTGGGGTGTATTATAATTTTCTTTTCCATCGGTGCTTTATTCTGTAAAACACATTATTTTTTATTAAAAGTAGTTTTGACAAACTATTGTCAAAACTATCGCATCTTTTAGCACGTATAAAACAAAACAAACTCTCCTTCATTTCCAAAGTCAATGGAACCTCTCGTTTCAAAAACGATATAACTCACTTAAACCTAATTTACAGAGAGGCACAAAACTAGATAAATAAATAAAATAGATAAACTAAGTACTATTTTAAATCGATGTGTTTACATGTTTTTAATATAAAATATACACAATAGTTTTTTGTCAAATTTGTTTATTAAAAAAAAATATTTTTGAGATCTTTACTTATGCAGTTTATGCAAAGAATAAAAGTAATAAGCAATTTTGTCTCACAAATTAGATAAAACTGTTACCGTTTTTTATTAAAAATAATTATGAACCCCCAAGAAACTACTTACCCACAAGGAAACAAATTGTCAATTATCAGAGGCAATCCTGGTAACAGATACACCGACTAGCCCTTCGGCGATGTGGGATTTATAACGCGCCAGATCCTTTGTAGCAGAATAAGGATCAAACTCTTTCGTTGTTCAGAACTCTGATAATAGGCAACCCCTTATAAATGATAACCCCGAAACAGTGTAGACAGATACACCAGAGTCAATTTCAGTGGTAATGTAGTCCAAAATTAAGTTAAAAAAAAGGAAATGAGTACTAACCTTTTAAGGTCCAGGGTTTCACACTGGACTGATCTCTATGAACCTTTGTACGGTTTGGGAATCAAAAGAAAACACTAGGTTCCTCCCAAACAATTTAATACAACTAATTCTTGAATTGTAAATCCTCAACAGGATGACTTATTTACATATATGAGTACTCGGTCGGGCTCCGATTGTTCGAACAATTGGGGACTCCGCAAGCTATACAACCTAGTCTGCAAAGAAAAATATTGTAACAAATGTTTACAACGATATTAAATAAAAGAGCTACCCATAGCCAAATTGATTCAATACTTAAAAACTAACAAAGAACATTTAAATTAGATAATGTAACTTGTAAAACAAGATTACTTCTTTTTTTAAAACTGAAGACATATTTCCCACAAATAACCCTGATTTAATAATAATAATTAACCTAAATATACAATAACATTTTAATTGTGTTGAAAGTTACATAAATGAGGCCTTACAAAAGGTCCATTAAAGCACAAAGCAAACTTATATTAATAAATGAATAATGACAATGGTTTAGGAGATTATTATAATAACGGGCGATAACACTTTATAATTAAAACCACAAAAATATATATACTAAGTTACAAAACTGTATGGGAGGAAAAGAAAATAACTCAGAAAAAATTAATAGAAAACTTAACTTTCTTCATTGCCGGCGTCTCATCTTCTTCCCTGCAGACCAACTGATCACCTCCTGTGGCGACAATGGTAGTGAAACTAGGACTACTGGGCCTAACCTCATGTAAAAAAATGTGGAAAACTAGAAGTTGATTTCCTACCACTATTAAAAAAAAGGTTCCAAGGGGTACCGTGTGGGTTCCAGCCAGACACGGTACAAAACGGGTTCCTTCTTTCTTCCGGTCGTTATCCCTGGACGAGGAATGGATGTTGAAATCCGGAAAAGGTGGCGTGGCGCTGAGAAGAGTTATAAATCCCCCATGAGGGTATGGTTGTACGGGCCACATGAACGATTCTATACCCACCAAAATCAAGGGTACGTTCTCCCGCTGCAACCAATAAAAAAAACAAATGCCCAAGAATGGATCCGGGAACTCCCGATGGAAACAGATTTCTTTCCAATATTATTCTCCTGGACATCCAACTTTCACAAGCGCAGCCAAAAAAAACCAACCTTCTTTTTCAAACGCTCGAACTAGAGAGAGAGTTCCACTTCTTTTTCTCTACCTCGCTATTGAAGTCCTAGAATTATTTTGGTCTTGACTACATTAAGCATCAAGCCAGCATGGCTAAATAATTTACTTAAAACCCTAAACATTACCCATATTCCCTATACAAAACTATTTATTCAGCTTATACGATCCAAAGTATTAAACTGAAAATATTACAAAGTCACTAACTAATTGAAAATAGACTATTAGAAAGTGATAGCCGAATGCGAACTCAGTAAGATACCGCTTCAGCCTACTAAGTAAAAGGCCATCCAATACGGAACCTATTTACAGATTAATAACCGTTAAGGCCTGCTTACATTGCTATTAAAATAAAAATGTATTTATAAATTAAAAAAAAAAACCGTAACACAACAAATTAAACACAATCAATATAAAGTAACAAAAGCTTTATTTTTGATATTATAGTAGTATTTGTATACTATTATCATATCCATTATCATCTTCTATATTAGCTTCTTCCTGTTCTGCGATATATGTTGTTGGCTATCGCAAGATTTCTTAATAAAATGGCTTATACTCGTCCAGAAGATATACTCTTACTTCGCC